ACAGGTGAAAGTCTCACAAACACGTGTTCACCCTCGCTGAACTCCAGTGGACGATGCTTGACATCGTAGTAACTCTTCTGGCGATTCTGCGTCTGCATGCAGCTTTTCCCTGATCATCTGGATCTGCAGGGTGGTATCTTGGACAAAGTCCAAGCCAAACAACTCATGATCCCCAACCTCTGACTAGCAGGTAGGTGTACGACACCTCCTATCGTAGAGCGCCTCGTAGGGTGCCATGCCCAGGCTAGCATGGAAACTGTTGTTATACGAAAACTCCACCAATGGAAAGTACCTATCCCATGCCAAGCCCTGCTCCAACGTGCAAGCCCGCAACATGTCCTCCAAGGTTTGGATAGTCCGCTCAGTCTGTCCATCAGTCTGAGGGTGATAGGTTGTACTCAGTCTCAATTGAGTCCCAAAAGCTCCCTGCAGCGCCTCCCAGAACCGAGATGTGAACTTCGGGTCCCTATCACTGATGATACTCTCGGGCACCCCGTGAAGCCTCACATCTCGCGAACATACAGTTTGGCCAACTGCTCAATAGTGAAGCTCACCTTCACTGGAAGAAAATGAGAAGACTTCATCAGTCTGTCCACAATAACATATATCGAGTCACAGCCAACCTGAGTCTTCGGCAAACCCACAACGAAGTCCATGGAAATGCTTTCCCATTTTCATTCCGGAATCTCAAGAGGTTGAAGTTTACTAGACGGCTTCTGATGTTCAATCTTCACCTTCTGGCAGATCAAACACTTGGACACATACACATCTATGTCCTTCTTCATTCTTGGCCACCAGAAATTCCTTTTCAGGTCTTGGTACATCTTTGTAGCACCAGGGTCAACGGTAAACTTTCCCTTATGGGCCTCCACCATAACCTCTTCGGTCAAAGGACCTCGAGGAATCACAACACGCTTCTGAAACAGCAGAAGTCCATCCTCATTCCAAGACACACCGTCTTGGTTCTTCACGTAGTCGAGACACTCTCTCTGCACTTGCGCCTCATGGATCTTCTCCATAAGCTCATTCTTGACTCTCACAGTCTCCAACTCGAGAAGTGCACCCCCAACAAGGAGGTCACCAACAAAACTCGAAGTTTCACAATGACATCAAAACGTCATTCAATTCACTGGGATCACCAGTCACTCTCTCAAAAGAGGTGACCTAACCCCACAGCTCAAAAATCCGCACAAAACTCGAGTGAGTATGATCCTATTCCATGACTCTAACATCGACTAGTCTTACAACTTGATAAATCATTATTTTCAAAATAACTTCATATTCATGTTCATTGTACGAAATCATAATCATATTCATTTCAACCAACACATGTCATTTAGCATATTCATTCGCATAATAACATACCTTAGTTCACGTACACCTGCAAAATTTTCAATCTTAGTAACATAATGGTTCGAATACTATAAACACAATATACCTCAATCTCCATGGCATCTGCAAAATCGAAACTCAATGAAAGGTGAAATGAGATTGATACATTACAACAATCTATCGTACTCATTTCATGCTTAACACTACCCATGGTGTTAATATGCCAATTACTTATGAAGCATATCAATAATCAACATAAGAACCTAGAGTCATGGAGACCACTCAAACCTCAAGCTAATTGTACATGCACTGCCTCGCATATACAAGAACGCGCGTGGCCTTGCCACAAATTCCAAGTGTTACACACTCAGTTTCCTGAAGAGAATTTCACATCCTCCAACAGAGCACCATCACGCTTAAGTAATGGCATAAGGCATCTTGCCTCAAAACAACATGACCGGTGCTTCCCATGGAGACACGCTCGGTTGGAAGAAGTCTTTCGCCGAAAGACCCTCAGAATGCTACTTCAACTCAGCCAACCCTGGTGGCGACATCTGGTATGGAGCTAATAACAAGGCCTCACACTAGGCAAAAAAGTTCAATGGAGAAAGCTATCTCCAACTGTGGCAGACACTCAGGAATCTCCTCAGGAAGCACCTCGAGGAATTCCTTCACCACAGGAATGCCAGTGAGATCCTCTTGTGTCCCGCTCACTAAACCTCCCAACATGACATAATCAATGTCCCTGCTCACAAGGCCCTCCTAGCCCGTAGCAATAAAAGGCGAGGAACTGGCTGTGGAATCACACGGAGACATCACCACTCGCTAGGCACAACAAATAATCAATCAATCAACTATTGGACAATCCATCCACGCCAAGGATGATTTCCAAAAATAGCCATCGGCAACCCTATCAGATCTACCGAGAAGTCACAGCCCTCCCACTGAAACATGACATCTCGATGTACAGTGGTAGCATCACACTTTTCTCCGGTGGCGGTAGTCACCCGCAACGGTGGAGAAAGCACAGACATAGGAAACTAAAGCCCCAAAGCAATCGGGGTCGCAACAAACGAAAGCGTAGCCCGGAATCAAACAATGCATCAACAGCAAAACCATCAATGGACACAGTACCTCTAACAAGGTTCGGAGCGCAGTCCGTCTGCTGACTATCCAAGGTGTACACACGCCTAACATAAGGTGGCACCGCAGGTGCCGAAGTAGAAGCCATCGAAACCATCTGCAAAGGAACTGCCTCAACAGCTGCAGCTCTTGCCGTCGACGACGGACAGTCTCTAGAGAAGTGGCCCTCCTTGCCACACTGGAAACAGATCAACTGACCCGAACACAACGACCAGCATGCTCCTTTTCGCACCCCGCACATCTCGGAGTGGAAGGAGGCCTAGCAAAACTCCCCTGCTGTGAAGCAGTCCTCTTGAACTGACCAGGCGCCTGCCTAGTCGCCAACTGTTTACCTTTGCCCTTCCCAGCAAACTTCATGTCCTTCCAAGAGATAGGAGCAGGAGTGGAACTAACAGTCCCTTTGGTCTTGTCGACCTTGGCCCTCTTGGCCTTGCTCGCTATGCAGACATCCTCAATGTCCTTACACTGCTAAACCAGTGTACCAAAATCCCTCGAAGCAGCTCCAACAATATGCTCAGCAATCACCTCACTAAGTCCTCTGCGGAACTTAGCAGCCAGAAACATCAGAGTAGGCACCGCCATCTGAAAATGCGCAAACTTCACAAGCTCATTAAACTTGTCCAGGTACTCGTCAACAGACAACGAGCCCAGAACCAATCTATCAAATTCACCCTGCTTCCTCTCTTGCGAATCGTAGGGAAAGTACTTGCCCAAAAGCATTCCTCGAAGAATGGCCACGTCATGACATGACCCTGCATCTCATAAGCACGAGAGGTGTTCGTCCACCACTCATGGGCATCGCCCTCCAGCATGTAAGTCGAGAACATCAGCTTCTGCGGGTCTGTACACTGCATGACCTGAAATATCTTGTCCAGCGCCTGTAGCCATCTCGCTGCAGCAATAGGATCCAAAGACCTATCAAACATAGGTGGCTTATGCTTCCTGAAAGCATTCAGCCGGCGATCAATCACATCACGATCCTCAGCATGCCCTACCAAGGTCTCCATCGTCTCAACGACATGAGTAGCACTGCCAATGTGACTCAGACCCTCATCCTGAACACTAGGTGGAGGCGGCGGCGGTGGTGGCGGTGTGATAACACATATTTTGTTACACTTATTTTGTTACTCTTGATTAGTATTTTTAGGATTTATTTGAATAAAATAATGATTGTTAGAGTTAATTTAGGTTTTTAGTTTTTAATTGGGTTTAATTTATTTTCGTCAGAATTTTTCAGCTTTACGTTACTTCTGTATTTTGGCCATATCTCAGTCCATAGTTGTCGGATTGACTCCGTTCTTGTTGGGTTTTTCAGATAACACAGAGAGATACAATTCTTATGCAGATCTCTAAGCCCAATTCAGACTAGAAGCTGGTCGATTTCGGACACCAAGTTGGACGCGTTTTGCTGAAGTTTTGTTTGACTATTGGGCTTGTAATTTAAATTAAAACCCAATTACTTAAGTGGCCCAAAGCCAAGTTTTATTGTTTCATTTTATTTTATTCGGTTTTTATTTTATGTTTGGGCTGAAGCGATGAAACCCTAGCCGTCCTGCGTGACGGCTATTTAAAGGGGACTCTAGGAAACCCTTAGTAGTCAGTTTTTACAACAGAGAAGTTCTCTCTGAGTTTTTATTCAATTGCGTTCTTCATCTTTTTTCTTCTTCTTCTTCTTTTTATTTCAATTATGTTTACCTTAGCCATGCGAGGCTAAGAACCTTTTAATCAACCTAAGGGTAATGGATTCCATGGATTAGTCTTGAGGATCTGCGTTTATTTCAAATCAGTTTTGTTTCCCCTCCCAACTCAGATTGATATCGTGCGATCGTGGATATTCAATCTGAGGTTCGCGATTGCGATTATGGAAAGGGATTAATCATCAGATTTGATGATTAGGTTGATTGACCCTATGACCTTAAATCAAGCGGGCTCATACTCTGCGATTGTATGAGTAGAAGCATCGTCTTTGATCAAATGCTAAGCGATCGCTTAGAGAGGGTTGTCAATTGGAAATAAGGATTCTGATTCGATTGACAAATCAATCACGATTCTGATATCCTCTTATCCGAGGAAAGACGTCCATGGAACCCAAACCTTAGGTTGGTTATTTTTAATTACGAATTTTACATACAATTTTACATTCTGCCTTTTTAATTATTGAATCAAAATCCAAAACCCCCCTTTTATTTTCTGTCATCGTAAGCGATTTTTACCCAAACAATTTCCTTGAGAGACGACTTAGGGTTTGCACTTTACTACAAAATTTTCTGAACCCTAAAGAATTAATTTTTAATTTGCGCGAGTTTGACAGCTCGTGTCAAATTTGGCGCCGTTGCCGGGGAAATTGCATCGGTCTAAATCGTTTTCTGATTCTTGATCATCTTCTTTTTCATCTTCATCTTCTTTTTCTTTAATTTTCGTTTCTGAAAAAAAAAATAAAAAAAAAATTTAAAAAAAAAAATTTGTGTCTTATCGTACGTTTCGTGATTTTACTGCTGTATGCTTTGCCTATGATGCATGACTAGGAGTAATACCAATGTTGATGATTTATATGCATATGACCCTGAGATAGATAGATCATTGCATGCTGCTAGTAGAGCTCGTAGGTTGACTTACAGTAGAGTTGTTCCTGAGCATACCTTAGAGTCTGTTGAGTCTATCGAGTCTGTTTGTTCGAGTCCTTTACATAGTGTTTATTCGTTTGGTCATTTATTTGATTCTGAAATCATGGGTGATAGAACACTTAAGCAATTGGCTGCTCCTAATGTTGATAATGAGCAGCCCTTGTGTATTCGTTATACTAATCCTGTTGTACCTTTTGAGCTTAAGTCTGGACTAATACACTTGCTGCCCAAGTTTCATGGTCTTGCAGGTGAGGATCCCCACAAACATCTGAAGGAATTTCATATAGTCTGCAGCACTATGAAGCCAACAGGGGTGGATGAGGAACAAATCAAGCTGCGTGCTTTCCCTTTCTCTTTGGACAGTGGAGCTAAGGACTGGTTGTACTACCTGCCACCTTCCTCCATTGTAAGCTGGAATGACATGGCCAGATTGTTTCTGGAGAAATTCTTCCCTTCATCCAGGGCCACTTCAATCAGAAAGGAGATCAGTGGCATAAGGCAAGCTAATGGGGAGAACATGCATGAGTATTGGGAGCGATTTAAAAGGCTTTGTTCAAGCTGCCCACACCATCAAATTCCAGACAATCTCCTGCTTGTTTACTTCTATGAAGGGCTGCTGCCTATGGATAGGAACCTTCTGGATGCAGCTAGTGGAGGAGTCCTGAGCAATAAAACACCTAATGAAGCCAAGGAGCTGATTGCTGAAATAGCTGCTAATGCTCAACAATTTGGCACTAGAGCCAACAGCAGTGCAGTCTTCCAAGTGCAAACTCCTCCAATGCAAAATCCAACAGTAGCAGCAACAGGAGCATCAAGCACAGATAACCAGAGAATGGAGAACAGACTTGATGAGCTGACATCAATGGTGAGGCAGTTGGCAGTGACACAGACTGTGCAACCTTCTGCTCAACAGATAAGCAACTTGTGTGGCATCTGCTGTGATCCTTCTCACCCCACGGATGCCTGTCCTTCCTTTCATCAAGACAACGATTTCCAAGATGATCAGTCTGTTGCTGCAATTTTTCCTGGAAAGCCACAGTACCAACAGCAGCAGCAACAACAGTACCAGCAGCAGCAAAATAATCCATTCTCCAACACTTACAATCCTGGCTGGAAGAATCATCCCAACCTCAGATGGAACCAGAATCAGCAAAATGTTCCATATCAAAGTCAACAAAATTTTCCATACCAGCAGAAGCAGCAGTTCATTCCACAGCAGAGACAAAACTTCCAGCAACCTGCTCCCCAACAGTTGCAACAACAACCACCAGTGCAGCAGCAAAACAGTGGCAGTGGTCCTTCTTTGGAGGACTTAATGAAACAGATGGCCACTAGCAATCTGCAGTTCCAGCAGAGGACTGAGTCTTCTATTCAGAATCTGCAAACACAGATTGGCCAGCTTGCAACGTCAGTAAATCAAAATCAACAAGCAAGTGGCAGCTCCCTTCCATCCCAAACAGTTCCAAATCCAAAAGGAAGCGGAAATGTGAGTGCTATTACTTTGCGGTCTGGAAAGCAAATGGAGGAGCCAACCCACACTGCTGCTGAGACATCCAATGGAGGTGACACTAGCTCCAAGAAGCAGAGCACTGATACATCTGATGTCCATATCCCTTTGCCATTTCCTCAGAGAGCCACTCAGTCAAAGAAGCAGTCAGCAAAGGTTCAAGATAAAGAGATACTTGACACCTTCCGGAAAGTTGAGGTGAACATCCCTCTTTTGGATGCAATACAGCAGATTCCGCGATATGCCAAGTTTCTAAAGGAGCTGTGCACCAACAAGAGGAGACTGAAGGGAGATGAGCAGGTTAACCTGAGTCAGAATGTATCGGCACTCATCCAGCCCATGCCTAAAAAGTGTCAAGATCCAGGGACATTTACTATCCCTTGCGTGATTGGCAATTCTGTTTTTCATGATTGCATGCTAGACTTAGGAGCTTCCATCAATGTTATGCCTGCATCTGTGTTTAAGTCTCTTGGTCTTGGTCCTTTGCGTGCCACTGGTATTGTGGTTACGTTAGCTAATAGGAGTAGTATTCACCCATCTGGTTTGATTGAGGATGTATTAGTCAGAGTTAATAATCTGATTTTTCCTGCTGATTTCTACATTTTAGAAATGGAGAGTGAGACTGCTACTAATAGATCCCCAATCATACTTGGTAGGCCTTTCATGAGGACAGCTAGGACCAAGATAGATGTTCATTCTGGTACTCTTTCCATGGAATTTGGTGATAGCATTGTGCATTTTAATATATTTGATGCCATGAAACATCCTAGGGAAGAGCATTCTGTCTTCTGCATAGATGTGATAGATGACGTTGTTGAGGATATTTCTGCTACATTCCTTGCTGAGTTTTCTACTGATTTTGATTCTGATTTCTGTGGTTGTGGTGATAGTCGAGAGTGCATTGTATGTGATGAAATAGCATCTCATCTTTCTGGTTTCAATGATGCACTAATTGATGATTCTGATTATGAGTGTGAATCTGCATTTTCTGAATTGCCTGCTGATATTATTGATGATCCTAATCCTGTTTCTGAGAATTTGTTTACAGGCATTGCTGCTGACTTGTTTTCTGCAGAATTTGCACCACCAACTACACCTCTTCCATCCATTGAGCAGCCTCCGAAATTGGAGTTGAAGGTTCTGCCCGACCACTTGAAATATGCATTTCTTGAAGAGAATGAGCAGCTACCAGTCATTGTGGCAAAGAACCTTCTACCTGAGCAGGAGGATAAACTGTTAACCTTGCTGAAGGAAAATAAGAGGGCAATTGGGTGGACAATGGCTGACATTATTGGTATTAGTCCTTCGACATGCATGCACCGTATTCTACTTGAAGAAGGAGCTAAACCAGTGAGACAACCCCAAAGGCGTTTGAACCCACTGATTCTAGATGTGGTGAAGAAGGAAGTAACAAAACTCTTGCAAGCTGGCATGATTTACCCCATCTCTGATAGCCAGTGGGTGAGTCCTGTTCAGGTGGTCCCTAAAAAGTCGGGAGTCACTGTGATTGCCAACCAAAATAATGAGCTGATCACAACAAGAGCTCAAAACAGTTGGAGAGTATGTATAGACTACCGTAGGCTCAACCAGGCAACCCGCAAAGATCACTACCCTCTTCCATTTATTGATCAGATGTTGGAGCGGTTGGCTGGTAAATCGCACTACTGTTTTTTGGATGGATACTCAGGCTACTTCCAGATCCACATTGCACCTGAGGATCAGGAGAAGACGACCTTCACATGCCCCTTTGGCACATATGCATACAGGCGGATGCCCTTTGGACTTTGCAACGCACCAGGTACTTTTCAGCGTTGTATGGTAAGCATCTTTTCTGAGTTGTTAGAGGATTGCATGGAGGTTTTTATGGATGATTTTAGTGTCTATGGTTCTTCTTTTGATGCATGTTTGGATAATTTGGGTAGAGTTCTGAACAAATGCATTCAAACCAATCTTGTGTTGAATTTTGAAAAATGTCATTTCATGGTTGAGTCAGGGATAGTTTTAGGGCATGTTGTCTCTAAAAAGGGTATTGAAGTGGATCCTGCTAAAATTGATGTTATTACTGCTTTGCCTTACCCCGCTTCTGTGCGGGAAGTTCGTTCTTTTCTTGGCCATGCAGGTTTTTACAGGCGCTTCATTCAGGATTTCAGCAAAATCGCTCTTCCATTGTCCAATCTCCTCCAGAAAGACATTGACTTTGAGTTTGGTGAAGCATGCAAGGCAGCTTTTGATCATCTGAAGCGCTGCCTAACCATAGCTCCTGTGATCCGGGCACCAGATTGGTCTATCCCATTTGAGTTGATGTGCGATGCATCCAATTATGCTGTTGGAGCTGTTCTTGCTCAGCGGGTCAACAAGGCCCCACATGTCATTGCATATGCATCCAGGACGTTGGATTCTGCTCAATCCAACTATACCACCACTGAAAAAGAACTCTTGGCTATAGTATTTGCTCTTGATAAGTTTCGGTCATATCTTTTAGATACCAAGGTTGTTGTTTTCTCTGACCATGCAGCTTTGAAATTTCTTTTAAAGAAAGCAGATGCTAAGCCTAGACTCATCCGATGGATGTTGCTGCTTCAAGAGTTTGACATTGAGATCAAGGATAGAAGTGGAGCGGAAAACCAAGTTGCTGATCATCTGAGCCGCATCACCTCTCTTCCATCTGACCCTGTACCTATTGGGGATGATTTCCCTGATGAGCAGCTTTTACAGCTGCAAGGTAAGTTCCCTTGGTTTGCCGATTTAGTTAATTACTTGGTTGCTGGAGCGTTACCTGTTGACTTCACTAAGGCTCAGATTTTGAAATTGAAAAGTGAGTCTAAATACTATGTGTGGGACGATCCTTACTTGTGGAGATTTTGTAGTGACCAAGTGGTTAGGAGATGTGTGCCTGACAGTGAGACTCTATCTGTTTTAAATTTTTGTCATGTCTGCCTGTGGTGGTCATTTTGGACCACAAAGAACTGCTAGGAAGGTTCTAGATTCTGGTTTATTCTGGCCTTCTCTATTTCATGATGCTTATGAGTTTTGTAAGTCTTGTGCTAATTGTCAGAGAGCAGGTAGCATTTCCCGTAGACATGAGATGCCCCAAAACCCTATACTTTTCTGTGAGGTTTTTGATGTTTGGGGTATTGATTTTATGGGTCCCTTTCCTGTTTCCTTTGGTTTTGCTTACATACTCTTAGCTGTGGATTATGTCTCTAAATGGGTTGAGGCGAAAGCCACCCGAACTGATGATTCTGCTGTTGTTGTAGATTTTGTCCGTTCTCATATTTTCTGCAGGTTTGGTATTCCTCGAGCTATTATCAGTGACCAGGGCTCACATTTCTGCAACAGGAGCATGGAGGCCTTACTTAAGAAATATGGAGTCCTCCACAAAGTATCTACAGCATACCATCCACAGACAAATGGCCAAGCTGAAATTTCCAGAGAGGTTAAGCAAATCCTTCAAAAGACTGTCAATGCTAATAGAAAGGATTGGAGCAAGAAGTTGGAAGATGCTTTGTGGGCATACAGGACGGCCTATAAGACTCCGATTGGAATGTCCCCTTACCGGCTTGTTTATGGTAAGGCATGTCACCTGCCAGTGGAGCTGGAGCATCGGGCATATTGGGCTGTGAAACAGTGTAACATGGACCTAATCCAGTCAGGTGGAGAAAGGAAACTACAGCTGCAAGAGTTAGAGGAGCTTCGTCTGGATGCCTATGAGAGCTCACGCCTATACAAGGAAAAGACAAAGGCATTCCATGATAAGCAGATCCTGAGGAAAGAATTTGCAGTGGGCCAGAGTGTGCTGTTATTCAATTCCCGTCTTAAGTTTATGCCTGGTAAACTCAGATCAAGATGGGATGGCCCCTTTATTATTACTGCTATTTTTCCTTATGGAGCAGTTGAATTAAGTGATAAGCAGACTGGGAACACATTTACTGTGAATGGGCATCGTCTGAAGCCCTTCTATGAAGGAACACCACAGCAGCCTGAGGATACAGAGATGGAAGCAGAGATCAGGCTGCTTGAAGCTGTTTATTCTCCTTAGGGAGCTCAGGGGAGTTTTCTTCCCTCTTTTCTTTTCTTTCTGTTATTTGCATTTTCTTTTCTTTCTGTTATTTGCATTTTCTTCTTTCTTTCTGTTATTTGCATTTTCTTCTTTCTTTTCGTTTTTGATTTTTCATAGGAGATTTTCCTTTTCTTTCTGGTAATTATTGAGTGGTACATGGAGTAGACTTCGATCACAGTGTTTGATAGCACAATCTGTTAGGCTTTGATCTCGATTCTTGGATTACAACTACCTGTTGATTGATTCTGTGCTGTTGATTGCATGACTTGGTTTACCCTTGTGAGGTTTTGAGCCCGCATACATGGCATATCTTCTGGCCATGCTTTCTTTCTTGTGTGTTTCTGCTCTTGATTGTTGTCCTCTAGAACTTGCTCTTGTTCTTTTTGAAACTGCATTTTTCACTTGCATGCATGAATATGATTGAGGCATTCTTTCTTTTCTGTACCCACTTTAGCCAGATAGCCATCCCTTATATTATTATCCCTTGGTGAGCCCCTTTGAGCCTTTATATCTTTTATTTCTTAAGCCGCATTACAAGCCTAAGTGAAAAACCAATTAATTCCACACCCTGGAGTTTTACTGAGCATTGGTTTCATTGTGATGTTGTGTTTAAGTGTGGGGGTTTGCCCGAGACGGACAAAAGTTTAAGTGTGGGGGGTGACTATCTGATTCATTTCTGCTATGTGGTTTTACTTCTTCAAAAAAAAAAAAAAAAAAAAAAAAAAAAAAAAAAAAAAAAAAAAAAAAAAAAAAAATTTTTTTTTTAAAAAAAAAAAAAAAAAAAAAAAAAAAAAAAAAAAAAAAAAAAAAAAAAAAAAAAAAAAAAAAAAAAAAAAAAAAAAAAAAAAGTGTTTATCTTTTCAGTATCTTTGTTTTATGTTCTTAGTTTAGTTCTTAACTTTTGCTCTTTGTAAATTTCTGGGGTGTTTAGCTTTCTCTTCCATATTCATCCATACCTTTACCTCAGCCCCATTACAACCCTGCATAAAGCCCTCTTGATTTGTGCATGCATGTGTTATGAGCAGTGGAGAAGTAGAACTTGAGCAAGCCTATGGTAGGATGATTTTCTTGAGTTGATTTGAGTGATATACTGAATTAACTGATACACTTGAGAGAAAAATTGAGAGCATCTTGTGAGGAACCATTTTTTATGCAGTTAGCAGTTGCAGTTGAAGTTAGCAGGTCTTGTGATTTGAGATTAGGGAATTTCTGTCCTGATTGATTTATCTGTAGAAGACTTGTGATCTTTGTATATTTTCTGTATGCTTGGTAATTGTTAGAAAGGATTGGTTGATCTTAGTATTTACTTTCAATTTTAGTTTTTGCCCAGGAGTGCAAAAAGATAAGTGTGGGGGAATTTGATAACACATATTTTGTTACACTTATTTGTTACTCTTGATTAGTATTTTTAGGATTTATTTGAATAAAATAATGATTGTTAGAGTTAATTTAGGTTTTTAGTTTTTAATTGGGTTTAATTTATTTTCGTCAGAATTTTTCAGCTTTACGTTACTTCTGTATTTTGGCCATATCTCGGTCCATAGTTGTCGGATTGACTCCGTTCTTGTTGGGTTTTTCAGATAACACATAGAGCTACAATTCTTATGCAGAGCTCTAAGCCCAATTCGGACTAGAAGCTGGTCGATTTCGGACACCAAGTTGGACGCGTTTTGCTGAAGTTTTGTTTGACTATTGGGCTTGTAATTTAAATTAAAACCCAATTACTTAAGTGGCCCAAAGCCAAGTTTTATTGTTTCATTTTATTTTATTCGGTTTTTTATTTTATGTTTGGGCTGAAGCGATGAAACCCTAGCCGTCCTGCGTGACGGCTATTTAAAGGGGACTCTAGGAAACCCTTGGTAGTCAGTTTTTACAACAGAGAAGTTCTCTCTGAGTTTTTATTCAATTGTGTTCTTCATCTTTTTTCTTCTTCTTCTTCTTTTTATTTCAATTATGTTTACCTTAGCCATGCGAGGCTAAGAACCTTTTAATCAACCTAAGGGTAATGGATTCCATGGATTGGTCTTGAGGATCTGCGTTTATTTCAAATCAGTTTTGTTTCCCTTCCCAACTCAGATTGATATCGTGCGATCGTGGATATTCAATCTGAGGTTCGTGATTGCGATTATGGAAAGGGATTAATCATCAGATTTGATGATTAGGTTGATTGACCCTATGACCTTAAATCAAGCGGGCTGATACTCTGCGATTGTATGAGTAGAAGCATCGTCTTTGATCAAATGCTAAGCGATCGCTTAGAGAGGGTTGTCAATTGGAAATAAGGATTCTGATCCGATTGACAAATCAATCACGATTCTGATATCTTCTTATCGGAGGAAAGACGTCCATGGAACCCAAACCATAGGTTGGTTATTTTTAATTACGAATTTTTATTCCAAATTTATATTCTGTCTTTTTAATTATTGAATCAAAATCCAAAACCCCCCTTTTAATTTTCTGTTCTCATAAGCGATTTTAACCAAAACAATTTCCTTGAGAGACGACTTAGGGTTTCCACTTTACTGCAAATTTTCTGAACCCTAAAGAATTAATTTTTAATTTGCGCGAGTTCGACAACTCGTGTCAGCGATATGATGAAGATATTGACAAAATATTGCAAGACCAGGTTATCCTTTGGCTGCAAAAGCACAATCAAAATTACAGGTAAAGAGATGCAAATTTATCTTGAGGTATTATTACTTCTAACCTTTTATTAATTTATCTCCTTTTTTATTTTAGGTTAGTTAGAATTGGAAAAAAAAAGTAAAGCTATGTCAGATATACAAATTTATATTGCGGTACAATTTAGTATTAAAATATTTTTATAAAAATTATTTCTAACAAGTGTATTAAGAACAAGTATTAATTAAGCAGTGGCGTGGATGCTCTCGAACAAGGACAACCCTACATTTAAGAATAAAAAATGACATTGTTAAATATAATTAAAGAAAAGAGTCTACGTGTAGGAGAAAAAAGGAGAGACATAAATGGACGTGGAGTAGGAGACTTCTACACAATTGGTGAGACAGAGACATGATGTGTTCAGGTATAATTTTATATTTTAAATTAGTTTTCTTCTTCGAATTTAATATTTGTAATTTCTCAAAAAAATTAATATCTTTAAGGAATAACATATATTGTCAATAATTGTATTAAATGTAGATGTGCGTCTAGATGCACTCCACTTTTTGTTTTGTTAGTGAGTAGGTTAGAGGATCAGTTAGAATTTTAATATATTAGAATATCTATCATTTACTTTGTCTATGCTCTCTTTCATTTATTAGGAAAGAATATTGCGTGGAGGACACGTATTCTATTATTTTTGGTATGTTGAAAGGGAAGATTTTTCAAAGGTAAGCACGTGTAACTTTTATATATTTCATGTGTTTTGGAGTGTCTTGAACTGATTGGTATCATAATTTTTTGTTTCAAAGTAAGATTCCCCTTCACATCCCTCAACGACTTTGTCTATGGTAAGGAATGTTACAAAAATGGTGTAAATTTTTCGTATTGTATCATTTTTATGGGAATATCTCACGCATGACGCCAAGGAAGGAGAGTTATTATTGAATGATGGATTTAGAATATAATTCGTTGTTGCATGACGACAAAGAAATGGAAATATCTTATGCATGACGACATGTAAAGGGAAATATCTTACACATGATTTCTGTCTAACCCTTTATCCTATGGTCTGAGAAGTTATGTTATTTATATGTAACCCTTCATCCCATGGCTTCTTTTCATTATTTCTAATAATTTTCGCAAGCAAAAGATTGTAATTTCACTATATAGGAGAATCTGAACTCAAGGTACACGTGAAGACGCATATGTTGTTACAACAAAGGAGGCATATCTTGTCCTTGTTATTAATTTAAATAATTGCAACGAAAAATAAAATTATGGTGGTTTTGACTGTAATGTTACATTTTTCAGGAATATAACGCTATGCAGTTTCAAATATGTACGCTTCCGGGAATGTATTTCATTTGATTAAATAATTGTGCATTACGAGTTGGTCTAATTTACTATTATGTGAAAATAATATAAATCTATATTTATTTATTTTCTTAGAATACATATTTTATGGGATTTGGTGCCTGACGGCGATGTATTCAAAGCATGTATTGACATAAATAACAAGGCAAATAAAAATGAGCTGAAAAATTAAATCAAACTAGAAGATATGCCTGCAAACATGATAAAGCGATATGATGAAGATATTGACAAAATATTGCAAGACCAGGTTATCCTTTGGCTGCAAAAGCACAATCAAAATTACAGGTAAAGAGATGCAAATTTATCTTGAGGTATTATTACTTCCAACCTTTTATTAATTTATCTCCTTTTTTATTTTAGGTTAGTTAGAATTGGAAAAAAAAAGTAAAGCTATGTCAGATATACAAATTTATATTGCGGTACAATTTAGTATTAAAATATTTTTATAAAAATTATTTCTAACAAGTGTATTAAGAACAAGTATTAATTAAGCAGTGGCGTGGATGCTCTCGAACAAGGACAACCCTACTTTTAAGAATAAAAAATGACATTGTTAAATATAATTAAAGAAAATAGTCTACGTGTAGGAGAAAAAGGGAGAGACATAAATGGACGTGCAGTAGGAGACTTCTACACAATTGGTGAGACAGAGACATGATGTGTTCAGGTATAATTTTATATTTTAAATTAGTTTTCTTCTTCGAATTTAATATTTGTAATTTCTCAAAAAAATTAATATCTTTAAGGAATAACATATATTGTCAATAATTGTATTAAATGTAGATGTGCGTCTAGATGCACTCCACTTTTTGTTTTGTTAGTGAGTAGGTTAGAGGATCAGTTAGAATTTTAATATATTAGAATATCTATCATTTACTTTGTCTATGCTCTCTTTCATTTATTAGGAAAGAATATTGCGTGGAGGACACGTATTCTATTATTTTGTGTAACTTTTATCTATTTCATGTGTTTTGGAGTGT